AACTCTGTCTTTGTGCTTCTTGTGGAATGTTAGCTCAAAGAACCGCTTCTCGGACCTCGGAGGAGAAAATGGATCATTGGGGTCTTTCTGAGGTGACTCTGCACAAACAAACCTCCACTTGAGCTCAATCCCTTCATAGAAATCAACCAGCTTCTCGCCTTTCTCAAGTCGAATCGTCAAGCTCTTCCCCTTTGGGCTTTTGCTAACTCTGATCCTCTCCGTGTTGGAACTGATTTTTGTGCACAAGTATATCTCTGCAGCTTCATAGACTTGGTTGCGAGATATGCCGTTTGATTCCTCTATGACTAGGGTTAGCTTAGGGGAGTGAGTTTTGAAAAGGTAGCGGAGGCTAGAGACAAGGTAGCCCCTAACTGGATGAGGTATGAGCTCATTGGCCATGGACCTAAACAGCATCATTGAGGCTGCCATGGAGGCATAGGCAGAGAACAGTGATGATGGAGAAGGCATTTCTTTGTTCGAAAACATGTTCATGATTGGAAGCTTTGGATTCTGAAAAAAGAGATTGTTGTTTGTCTAAAAAAATTTCTAGTTTTGAGCAGAGTGGTGAATGATTATATATAACCAGGCTTTCTCTCTTTGTTTGGTCTTTAGGGCAGTGATGAATGAAAGTGTACATGTGTGAAAGTGTCTGCGTGGGCTTGAGTGGAATCCTACTACAATACTTCCAAAAGAGAAAGAGAGAGAGAGACCCCATTGCTTTCTTTCCAGTTCTTTTCTCTTTATTTTCGCTCGTCCTTTCTCTTTACTTTCTGTTTTTATCACTAATTCAATTATTATAACTGAATGACCAAAAAAGCTAAATTCTGAAAAGCTTCGGGTGCAAGCAACGAGGCTGTGTATGCTCCTAAAAAGACAATAATTCGTACATATAACAAGTGTATATAATGCTCAACTCACAATAACTGGTCGCGTAATCAACACGCCATGGGTAAAAACCATTGAACTCAACTACCCTCTTTTTTTTTTTTTACAGAGAAAAGAAAGAAACAAGTCTGCCAAGATATGCCCCTACTTGAGCTCAAAATCAGCAGCAGCATGGTCCCAACCATTTCATGGAAGAGGTACATGGGATTTTATGAGGGTGAAGGGCCCTCAATTTTTAAGGGTTATGTATTGCACTGTATGTACTAGAATTCTGAGTTACAGGCCAACAGCCAACTTAATTTGGTCAAGAGAATATTTGAGGATGTCATGCATATCTTTTAAACAGCCAGGAAAAGAATGATCTATCACTAATTTAATACCTAAAAAGGGCTCTGTAACATTGTCCCATGAAACCCACGGCTTCTGATCACATATCAGAATAGGAATTGGTTCTTGCCACGCTAAAATCTCAATCTAACACACAAGTGAGAACAGCTAGATTCTATAGGTTTAAGTTTTATTGCTTTTTTCTTCTTTTTTTAATGCGTCATTTGAACAAATTGGTTTTTGCTAAACTTCTTTCAGCTTTATATTTTTCGTTTTATTTTTTAGTATAAGCGATAGTCTAAACTACAGGACATGGGGTTTCTCACACACACAACTATGATGCTGTGAGGATTTGAACCTTTTAGCTTTATCTTTATTAGCTTGGAATTGTCTCTTTTAGTGTCTTAATCCACGAAACCATAAACCATCTGTAAAAAATATGTATATAATATTGCTTGAAACTTGACCTACGGGGCATGCCTTCGCTAACTTTCGGCGTGGAAGAGGGAAGTTTCCAGCAAAGTTGAGTCAGTCGAGCACATTCTTTGTCTGTCATATAATTGGTCACTTGCATTCTTGATTCTTCTGCATTTTTATTCTTAACTAACCATTTTAAAACTGAAACTTTAAAGAGAAAACCATTTTAACCCTGACATATTTCACAGCTCAAAGCCTCCCCAAGTCGCCTTTTGAAGTCTTGCCAAAAGCTAAAAATGATAAAGAAGACATAAAGTTTCTGAGAAAGGCCTTGGCAAGCAAGCCAAGCCACAGCTGCTGCATATGCATTAAATCTATTTGAATCAATATTATTTTTCGCTTCTTATAATCCTTATCAATCCATCTCATCCAAATATTGACTGACCATACTTTTTACTTGGCGTAATCTACACAGATGAAAGCAAAGCAAAGCAGATTTCAAGTTGAAGATCTCAATGGGCCACTTCAAATCAAATTCAATGAAACAGAGCCAAAAAAGCAGATTCTATTTCAACTTTCCACTACAAAATGCTTAAAGATTATGGGGAAATTTCAAAAGGAAAGTTTTCCTCCTAAGCTTAAAAGTCTCACATCTTAGGACCTACAATTCATCTACTAATCCAAGCATAAAAGCGAAAATGTATTGGGATGTCAACTTTTGCTGATCCAAAGCAGAAACTCAGTTGGGTATTTTTATAACATTTTTATAGTTATAAACCCAACAAAGTTTATGGTCATGAATAAAGACAGCCCACATTAGAAATATATATATATATATATGGTCCCCCTAACAAAACAATCACAAGCAAAGTAAAAGCCTCATGGAACTCAGAAATCAATGTGATGGAAATTGATGCTTCCAAAGGGACACCAATTCTAATTACCACTTGATTTATTGTCATAATTAATCATCTACTTTTTCTCACTATTTTTTTCATCATTATCATCTTTCTTGTCCTTAATCTCAGCCTCAGCCTCAGCTTCTCTAGCTTCTCCTTCTGCTTGCTTCCTTTTAGCCTCCTCATCAGCTTCCTCATTCTCCTTCTTCTTCACTTTCAGAAACTCAATCAGGCCTTGCAGTGCAATGCCAGGCTCATCACTCTTGATCAGTTGCTCAGCTACTTCTGCAGGGGTCACTTTAGTCATGTCAATCTGTTCCTCAATCTCCCCAAACAACAGGTGGTCTTTAATTCCAAGGTAATTGGCTGCCAGAAGCCTAAAGCCAGATGGGCTGCAATAGGACATATGGACATGAACATCCATGCGACCAGGGCGCAACAGTGCAGGGTCAAGCTTCTCCTTGTGGTTGGTTGTGAACACTATAATTCTCTCATCTCCACAGCTTGACCACAGCCCATCAATGAAATTGAGCAAACCTGATAGTGTCACCTGTGGCGTGTCGCAACAAAATTATTAGGACCACAAAGCATAAAACTAAACAACAATTAATTCAATCATTACGTTTAACATCATCATAAGTTTTGAAACCACGGAAAGATTTGGACCAGTCTCAATCAACATGGAAAATTATAACACGAATAATACTCAACGTGGCAGAAACTCATTGGCTTTTTATGCATCGAAAGGAACTTTCACTGAAGCTGCCTGGAAGTCCTTGCCTTGAATCTGCACATATTTGTCTATTATAATTATTGCAATCAGACCAAATTTTCTACAATATGGCATGTGCTATGTCTTTGGCCTGTCTTCATGCTATTCCAAATAGGACAATGGCATTGAACTTGGGGAAACACCATCATTTTTATTTTATTTTTACACTTTTTCTTATTTTGTTTTTAACAGAAGCGATCAAACTCTTTATCTATCATAATTCGAACATTTAGGCTTAACCAAAGATTATTATTTTTGGATGTGAAGGGAAACACATATGAAAATAATAATTATTCTTATGGAAGTTTAGCATTTGTTTCTCTCTCTCTCTCTCTCTCTCTCTCTCTAGCCATTCAAGTTCAGCAAAGACATTTTCCACAGTTAAACAAAAGAAACATGAAACAAAATATAAAGAAAGAAAAAGAATTAGTCAATATACCAAACACCAAGTCGGCAGAATAAAACAAAGGCACAAGAAGAAAGTAAACTGACCTGTTTCTCCTGGGACCCATGTGGGTGTGAAGCTCTACACTCAGCCATTCGATCTTGAAACTCAATGGTGCAGTCAATATCCTCCACTACCAATATAGACCTATTAGCCATGGCAACCAACAACCTCCTAAGCTCCGAGTTGCTCCTCAACTCAGTGAGTTCCAAGTCATAGATATCAAAGTTCAAATGATTGGCCATTGCAGCAATCAAGCTCGACTTCCCTGTCCCTGGTGGGCCATACAACAAATACCCTCTCTTCCAAGCCTTGCCAACTTTTCTATAATACTCCTTCCTCTTTATGAACCTCTCAAGGTCTTGAAGAATGAAGCTTTTGACCTCCGAGTCCAAAGCCAGGGTTTCGAACGTTGCCGGGTGATCGAGGTTTGTGGGGATCCATGCTTCTGCTATGTTGCAGTACATGTTCTGATAGTCAACCGTGAAGATTTTCAGGGTCTTCTTTTCTTGCTTCATGGACTTTGATTGTTTAACAATGTGAGGGAGGTAAGAGTTTAGCACCAAGTCTCTTTGTTTCTTGTGGAAGCTGAGCTCAAAGGATCTCACTTCTGATCTCAGTGTGGAGTTTAGGTCACGAGGGTTGTGGAAGTTCATCGACTCAACCTGCCTGTACACAAGGTATACGCAAGTGTAAATTCACAGACAATATAAGTATCTTTTGTTACGAGATAAATATAACAATGCTCGAAAAAGTTGCAAGGCTAATTTATCGAAAAACTGAAAACATGCCTGGAGACCAAGATCCAATTGAACTTAACCCCATTAAAGACATCCACAATCTCCTGATTGCTTTCCATGGTGATGGTGAAGTTGTTTTCCTTCTCGGGTTTGCTGACTTTGAGTCTGTGTGTTGATGGGGAGACTTTGCTGCCCAAGTAGATTTCTGCAGCCTCATATATTTGGTTGTTGACAAGGCCATCGAACTCTTCAATGACCATGGTGAGTTGGGAGGAGAAGCGAGAGAAGAGGCTGCTGATTCCAGAGAAGAAGTAGTGTTGGATCTCATGGGGGAGGAAATCTTGGGCTATTGACCTTACCAACATTGCTGTGGCAGCCACAGAGGCTGCTGTTGAAAGAACTGTCTTGGCTGTGGCCAGTTTGGTTTCAGCAGAAGATGATGAGGCCATTTTGGGATTTTGATCAACTAGGACTTAACGAGTATATGGTTCTCTACCCTCTATTTATAAAGCAAATGTTCATGTTTAAAAAACAGACTTCAACTCAAAATTCTGAAGAGAAACATCGCTGCTTCTTCCTTAGCCATTTTGACTTGGATTCTTCGAGGTGCACTAATCAGCTAACTTAATTCACGTTTATTGATTTTTATTACTTATTTTCATAAACTTAGGCATTCTTTTATTTTATATTATCAAATTACTTATCATAATCTTCCATTCAAATATTGCATAATTTCGTATGGTATGATCATCCGTAGGACCAAACTTGAAGAAAAAGAATTGTCGTATGAAAAAGGGCAAAAGCGAAGACCAATGAAAAAGAAGTGTTTGGTGGGACAATTGGTCAAAGTCTACAACATTGTCTTCGTGCGGAATGGGTTAAAAGTTGACTTGCTGCGTCAAGACGACTTTTCTTTCAAATTAAGTTTTGCCCCTATACTCTACAGTTTGCTTTGGGCTCGTTAAAAGCGTTGAAGGACAATGTAGAGCTACTCATGTGGGTTTCAAAATGAAATATGACCCAATATCCATGTACCAAATTCAGCTTTGTACCAATATTCTTGGCATCTTTATGGGGACTTGAACCTCTAATCAACCGTAACCACTACACTAACTTTGTTTGTCACATTCGGAATTTTGAAGGCTTCCGATCAATTGTGCTAATAGTCAATTGGTCAAGTGACAGTTTTTACTTTGTCAGAAAATACAATGAATTCAACTATCATAAAAAAGATAAGTTGTTCTAACTCAGTTGGTAGAGTGAATTGATGTCATTGGTTCGAACCCCTGTGTATGTAATTCCCCCTCCCTTGTTCACTCCCCTCAGTGTGTAATCGCTTGTACTGAAAAAAACATAAGTTGATGAATGGAAAAAAAAAAATGTCCGAACATATTCTTTAGGATTTTGAAGAATACAACTTCTTGAAGAGATCGTATCGAAGAGGTTGTTTGGTATTGAATTTGAATTCAACTTTTTAAACTCAAAAACAGTTTTTGAGTCCAAAACTTAAAAAACCTATTTCAAAGGCTCATTTTTGAAAATTCAAACCTAAAAATAACTCAAAAAAACCAAAAAATTTGAAAACATAACAAGTTTGTTTTCAGAATGTTTTTGCTCGATCCCTCTCTCTCCATCTCTCTCTTCGTCCCTCTTCCCCTTCTTGATCTCATTGATGCCGATGTTGGCACGCTGCATGATGTAACACAAGCACTAGGGCTCGATGTCCCTTATCCCCTTCAACAACTCATAGCACTCTTTCGTCAGAGTCTCCGTTTTCTCTGTCGCGTAGCTCCTGCACATTGCCACTTTGATTTTGATATATGACCCATTACAGTTGATGTAACGAAAAACCAAAACAAAGATTCAAATTTTTTTTTAAAATAATTGTTTTGTGTGCTTAATGACATGATCAAGAAAAAAAAAATCTATATAAGAAAAGTAGAAACAGTTTACAAAAAAATTAAAAAATGGAAAATAAAATTGTTTTCAAGAATTCAAACCCAAAAAAAATTGAAAATATCCGAGTTTGGTCATTTTGGGGTGGGGGGCTCCCTGCAAGTAATCACATGGTAACTAAAGCATTGACCTCCTACCTGCCTGGAACAAGTTAATTGGTATTTTGAGCATCATGGCCAGGAGGTCACACCACTCCAATCTGTCTGTCTTCTTCTTTTTTTTAGGTTTCCATCAACATATATGTATAGTATATAATTCCTTTCCAATCATCAAGGTCTAGCTAGTTTCATTTAGGCCACATTATATAGCTGAGAATCCTTAAAACCATTAATGGAGGTGGGCTTTCTTTCTTGTACCTGTTCATTTATAATATGCCAATCTGTTGTATATCCCACCATTACCGCGACCTCAACATCTGCCACCTCTTTGCCCTACCAAGTCGTCATCAATCAACTATTTCTTTATTCTTTTAAATCTTAATTTTGCCTTTGGTCCATTATATTTGGATGCTCATGAATCTTAATGTTGTAAGATCTCAATCATTGTTGGGTCACTATGTATTCAATAAATAATGGAGCAACATCTACCATTAAATCATGAGCATGCACAAGACTGACCTACTTGGAATTTTTAGTCTGCATCAGAATTATGTAAGGAATTGAAAGGTCATACAGCTCAATCCACTATGATTTAGTTACCATTTACATGCACAACTCTCAGGATTTAACTTGCCTTTTTACCAATTAATTCATGTGAATCTGCCCAAATATGTGTCATTCTCCCTCAGTAAGATGCTCCACAAAAAAATATCGGAAAATTAAAATCATTACTCTGTCTCATTCGAAACATTACAGGTGTATTTATGTAGAATGCAAGCAACCAACACTTACACAACCTAGGAGGCTAAAGACCCCTTAATATTTTCTTGATATCAGTAGAGACTGGTTCAGGAAAGCTAAGAGATGTTGAATCTATCAGAGGAGGAGCTCCTCTTCCTTGTGAGGAACTACTATGATGTTTTCATTGTTGCAGTGTTTTCTATTGGGTTAACATTTTTGGTCTCCAAAATAGCTTGGAGAAGTTCGGACATGACCACTACAAGTTACAGAGGTGGTGGCATCCCGGGTCGGTTGGGGTTGCCCTTTGTTGGTGAAACCCTTTCTCTTCTTTCTGCAACTAGCAGTATAAAAGGATGCTATGAATTTGTCCGGCTCCGACGAATATGGTTAGTTTTTCTGTTATTCCATTGCTATCTTAAAAGGTAAAAGTTGGAATTATAGTATTTTCCAAGAATAGTTAGAATACATGATCAACTTGTGTCCTACATCAACCATGACGCTAAATTCGATTTTGCTTCTTTGGTATTGAGCCTGCAACAAGTGCCTTTCATCCTAGAAACCATATTAGACATTCATGCAAAGGGAACTTGCCTAAGGTGATTCTTGGGCTGCAAGTGCACCAGAAAAATGATGTGGTCTTAACTGTTAATCTCACTTTCAAGACAAACTTTACTGTATTGATCTGTGGTCTACTGGTCCTATAATCATTTTTCGATCGAAATACGAGCTAGGAATTAGTGAGATGCATGACTTTTTTCATTCCCAAAAAAATAGTCATTTTTTGTTTATATATTGTATGTTGTATTTATTAACTTCATATTGATAGCACGTTGAATTGATGATTGTGGTGAAACTAGGCACGGGAAGTGGTTCAAAACAAGGATTTTTGGACAGATCCATGTGTTTGTTCCCAGCACAGGGGGCGCAAGAGCCATTTTTTCTGATGACTTTGCGAAATTCAACAAAGGGTATGTGAAATCAATGGCAGACTGTGTTGGAGCGAAGAGCTTGCTGTGTGTGCCGCATGAGGACCATAAGAGGATTAGGCGCCTTCTTTCAGAACCTTTCTCCATGAACTCTTTATCAACATTTGTTCAGAAGTTTGATAAAGTGTTGTGCCAAGAGCTGAAGAAATTAGAAGGCGGCGGGAAAAGCTTTGCGGTGCTTGACTTCAGCATGAAGGTAACAGCACAACAAAACCGTCACTGTTTTTTCTTTTATAATAATACTGCATCCATTTTTGGATTTTTGGAATAATTGTAGCTGATCTCCCTGAATATATATCTGTTATGCAGATGACATTTAACGCAATGTGCAACATGCTATTGAGTGTCACGGATGACTCCTTGCTCCGAAAGATCGACAAAGACTGCACTGCGGTCTCGGATGCAATGTTAACCTTTCCTTACATGATCCCAGGCACCAGATATTACAAAGGCATCAAGGTAACTCGGGCATCCCCGCGTGCACGATGAGACTGCACGTGAAGGATGGCATTAACTGATTTACATTGTTGGCCTATTTCCTAACGATTTATAAGTTCTTGGGGATCTGATTAAAGAAAAAATTTGTTTTTATCTTAAATAGTATACTAACAGCAGTGTTGAAACAGGCACGTCGACGTCTAATGGAAACCTTCAAAGACATTATTGGGAGAAGAAGAAGTGGAAACGAGTCTGCAGAAGACTTCCTACAGTCTATGTTAGAAAGAGATTCATGCCCTCCCAATGAAAAGCTCCAAGACTCAGAGATTATGGACAACCTATTGACATTGATAATTGCAGGGCAGACCACCACTTCCGCTGCAATGATGTGGAGTGTTAAGTTTCTTGATGGGAACAGAGAAGCACAGGAAAGACTGAGGGCAAGTAATTCTAAAGTGCATCTGCATATTGCATAAATCCCAGTAGCAATTTCAGTGTTGTTTGTTCGAGATAAATATATTTATGTGGAAAAAAATTGAGATGTATATTTTGAGATCAATACAGGAGGAACAGTTGTCAATAGCCAGAGCTAGGCCAGATGGAGCTTCAGCCACCCTAGAAGATTTTAAAAACATGCCCTACTGTTTGAAGGTTATCTCCACATACTAGATTAATAGGAAAAAAAAAAGTTTAGAATCTTTTTCACCTGTTTTGGACTGACAGTGGTGACATCTTTGGGTATGGATGGTGGTGTTTTTTCCAGGTTGTCAAAGAGACATTGAGGATCTCAAATGTCCTTCTGTGGTTTCCTCGCGTTGCACTCACTGACTGCACTATTGAAGGCAACTACATTGAACTGAAAAACCTTTTGAAAGCAAAAAAATTATTCTATGTGCCTGTTTAAACCGTCTCTCTCGCCCTCTTGTTGCAGTATGCACATGAGCTCCACTGTTATATAATGGATTCACGTGCATATTTCGTGAGAGAAGTTATATATAACTGACACATACAAAAATTTGTTATGTTGGAAGCCATGAATTTAGTGGAAATGCTTCCCTTGTCATGTATTCTTTGTCAATCTTTCCCTTAATACAAGAACTTGTTTAATTGATATGTTTGATTGCAGGCTTTGAAATAAAGAAAGGTTGGCATGTGAACATTGACGCGACTTGCATACACAACGACCCAGATTTGTATGCAGAGCCAATGCAATTCAACCCATCTAGATTTGATGTAACCACCTCTCTCTCTCTCTCTCTCTCTCTCTCTCTCTACCCAACACCTCATTTTCCATTAATGTCTTGGTATTGACATCACCGTAGTCATAAACTATTAGGCACTGAGTGATTTTATTTGTCCCTTGTGTGATTTATTCTCCAGGAAATACAAAAGCCATATAGCTTTATACCATTTGGGTCAGGACCCAGGACATGCTTGGGAATGAACATGGCCAAGGTGACAATGCTGGTCTTTTTACACCGTCTCACTAGTGGATACAGGTGAGTTGGAATTAAAGGATAAAAAAGGCATCCGCAAATACTATGACCAGTCGCCCACGTATGTGCAGATGTTTTGTCTTTTTTCAACAGTAAAATCACTTGCACACTCGTAGGCGACCAGTCGCCCATGCACGTGTACATGTTTTTAGTCGTTTTTCAACAGTAAAATCACCTGCACACTCGTAGGCGACTGACGTTAAACAAAGTCCATGTATTGATGAATCTTAAACTCTTCCGAATACTGTGTAGGTGGACAGTTGATGATCTGGATACTAGCCTAGCGAGGAATGCACACATTCCGAGATTAAGAAGTGGGTGTCCGATTACCTTGAGAGCCTTATAAAGCATTGTGCCTATGAATTGTATGCCTCAAAAGTTATGGTTGTACGTGTGTA